CCCCCCCTTCTTATTTTTTAATGAGGAAGGTCAAGGTCCTATTTAGGAACCATTTTATGTTAGCTTGTTCTCACGGATATTAAATGTTTCTAGTGTTCTGCTGGTTATTTGAAAGACTACAGTTAGAACTACATTCTAGGCTTTTCCTACTTACTAATTTAGCTAGATTAAGGGATGACCTAGAGCAAATAATTTTGCCTTTCCCGACGGTTTTTCTCAGCTATAAAGTGGGATAACCCAGCTATTTTGCTGGGCTAGGGGATCCAAGGAGAAGGAAAGTAGGGGGTGGCATTTTAAAAAGGAAAGGAGCTCAACAATGGAAGAACCTTAGGGTACTTGGAGGGAAGAGCCGGGCGCACCCCAAAGACCTCCAATGGTTAACATTCCAGAGGAGAGGAAGTCCAGCGTGCTCCCAAAGCGCCTGGGTTCACAGCACAGCTCGATTTATTCTAAGCTGCTAGCTGCCAAACCCGTGGTGTTTACCAGAATCCGGGTGGTTTGCAAACCCAGATGTCAGACTTCCTGTCCCAGGGATTCTCAACTGCTCACCCCCAACTCCTATTCGGCCTCCCCTAGGAAAGAGAGAGGCTGCTGGAAGCAGGAGGAGCGTGCACGGGGTAGCCTCACCCCTCCTCTCTCCCCACCCCAAAGGCAGGAATTTCTGGGATGGGCAGATGGTCCACCTCCTCTTCCTCCTCCTTGCCCTAGCCCGAGTGGGTAGGGCGGGGAAAACCTCTGCAACTTCCCTGTCTCCGGCCCAGAGCCCCGAGCTCCCGCATACGGTCGCGGCAGGGGCTACGGAGTGGGTCTCCGGGACGCAGGGACAGCGAGGCCCCCGGAGGGGTGGAGCACTTGGCGGGTGGGGGTTGCGGTCCCGCCCCCAGCACCGCATCCCCGCGCTCCCGCTGTGGAGCTGGCCGCCGCGACCGTCACCCCGGGCGCCCGGCGAGTCCAGTGGTTAGGGATGCTGTTGCTGCGGTCGCTGCCGCTGCTGCTTCTGCTGGGGGCGCCACGGAGCTTCACCGAGGGCGCGGCGACGGCACTTACCCCCGACCCGGTCCTCGAGTGGCAGGGTGAGTGTCCCCAGGGCCGGTGGGACCAGATCGGCACATCGGGGGGTGGGGTGGTTAAGGCAGAGGAGGGAGGGGTGAAGCTGGGGGCAGGGAGGCGTGAGCTGCTAAGGAGCTAAGGCGGCCGGATTTACACTGTAGCCGCGTCTCGGTAGTCCCGAGAAAGCCGTGTGGATGGGCCAGTCCTGCAGCCGGACGGGCTTTGCACCCCACTCTCGCCGCCCCACACCCCCCTCCTCTAGCCCCCGCATCCTCCTGGCGTTAGCGGGCGGCGAGGCGAGGGGCCTGGCCTGGGCTCTCAGGCAAAACTTGACTCCGCTCTCGCCCGGGACAGGCCGGGCACAGAGGGGTAGCAGATGTTTCAAAATGTAGTCTCCGGGAGTTGTTTATTTGGAAGGATCACCTCTCAGATAAATGATGGCAGAAAGATGTCTCATTTCATCCCCTCCCAAAGCAAGCTTTCTGGATGTGTGCCACCACTTGCCCAGTGGCCCTAAGCCAAGGCCTCTACCCCTCTGCGTCTGGGGAAAAGAATACTAAAGTCTTTTCTATTAATACCTTGCAGACCAAATGGGGGAGTGGAGCCTCTGTAGCCCCCATGGACCGTGTAAGCTGAGCAAATAACCCTCTTGGCTTCTCAGTTCCTCTCATCAGAGAAATGGGGTCTGTGATATCCAGACGACCACCAAGGATTAAATGAGATAGTTTGTAAGGCATCTGGTGTGCCAGTGAGCCAGAGTTCCTTCAAAGTCACCACCCCCCCACCGCCCCGCCAGCACAAGTGCACACTGGATCAATTCACCAAACATTTATTCAGCACCTAATACACATACGACTCATAAAAGATGTGTAAAGAGTCATGAGGAGAGGTTGTCCTGCAGGAGGCCTACTCTGGAGAATAACTGCATGGGTGCTTCTGAGGCAGAGGGAAGCTAGCGTCCAAAAGTGGAAGCCCCTGTGTGAAAGGAGGCAGGCAGGGCAATAAATAAACCAGGAGAAGCCTCCAGACAGCCTCCATCCTCTCTGCCTTTGGCAATAAGTTTGGAAAGGAGATAAAACAAGGTGTGGTCAATGCCTGTGTTTTTTGTTTTGTTTTGTTTTGTTTTTCTTTCTCAACATACTTTACATACGTTTTTGAGATAATCTCACCTGGACTGTATTCTCTCGTACTCCCACAAGGCTTTATCTGGGACAGATTGAGTAATTCTTATTCTAAAATGGCCAAAGATCAGAGACCTCTTAACCCTCTTGGGAAGTTCAAAAGAAATGGTCCTGTGGATGTACATCTGACCCCAGGTATGACCCATCTCCACGAAGAGTTTACCATACAGTGCTTATTACTTTACGTTTAAAATGTGCCTAGTGATAGGTATCTAGAACAGGGCAGTAGCCCACAGGACAGAAGCTGGACTCAAGCCACACAGAGAAAATGCACTGGTGATCCTCTGAGCCAGCGTTAGCACTAATGAGCTAATCCCTACTATATGTAGCAGACCCAAATCCTGGCCTGAGATAGTTTCTAATCAGCGCCTTCTTTTTAGTGGTCAAGGACACTCTGAAGTTAAAACTATCTGCTACCTCCTGGACACTCCAAGTGACAGTTTGCATATCTGAAGGCCTTTGACATAGTTGGCAGAGAGATTCTTCAGATAAGAAAACGCTGCTACTGGTGTTCATGGAATGTGGGTCTTGGAGACTGTGTGGCAATGAATGTACCAAACCTTGCACAGGCTCCCCTCCCTGACTTCAATCCCCCACATCAGTGACATTTCAAGTATAATCGGGATCGGTTTGAAATCAAGTGTTTCCTGTTTATACAAAGATGGAAAAACAAAATTTTAGCATTGGAAGGGACCTGAGACATTGTCTACTCCAGCTTTCCATTTTTCAGATGTGGAAGCTTTTACACCATTTTTTAAATCATGTTTTGGAGGTGCCTCGGTTTACTGTTGTGTTCCACACGTGCACCAACCACACTGACTACTTCTAGCTATGATTGGTATCCACAAAGCAGCCAGGAGAAATATGCATGCATTTCAGTTTTATATTCACTAATAAGGGGTATGTAATAATGCAAGGCAGATTGTACATGTAGTACTTTTTTCATCTGAGTTGTTTAATATGTATTACTGGTTGATCTGATATGTATTATAAGCATCTCAGCCTTGGGAGGCTATTGTATTGACTTTTCAATCATTTATCAAGAATTTTGTGTTCAAAAATCAGTAGATATAGTGTCATATAATAGTTACGTTCATGGTCTCTATGCCAAATGGTATGGGTCCAAATCCTGTCTGTACCATTGTCACCTTGGGCAAATTACTTAACCTCTCTGTGCCTCAGTTTCCTCATATATAAAAATGGAGGTAATAATAGTACTCACTCAAATGTTTTCCTTTGCTTTCAATATCACCACAACACCATCATCCTCTGGCCAATCCAGACTACTTTGACAGGTTGATAGTCCTTTAACAATTATATACTGCCCTGCACATGGCACTGTACTTGGCATGTCTGTGTTGGCTGTAACAGGGGCTTCACTGTGGTTCTAGAATCTGAGCTCTTCTAGTAAGTGCTGTGACTTGGTAACTTCATTCACTCAAGTACCCCCAATACTGGGAGGGCAGGTGGGAGAATGAAGAAGGGAGTAGGCACTCTGGGGAAAGGTGGACATAGTCTCTGTAGAGGTTGCTAAAGGAAATGAATGGGGGCAATAAAAGAATTTTAAAGCTATGTCGAGAGCTGAAAATTATGTGAAATGGCCCCAACCAACCTAATAATAGGAGAGTTTCATTGGCAGCACTTATCTTCCCAAGGACTGGAGGGGCCCCACAGCTGTGTTAGTCCTTGAGGACGGTCAGGGTAGGCTATTCTGAATGACCGGTGACCAGGGGAAGTGGGGGTGCTGTTGAGCCTGAGGTCAAAGTTCATGACCATGGGGCCTATTTGGAAGAAGGATGGGAACTGGGATAGAGGGGTAGGGTCAACTCTTGAAATCCTGTGCCAACAGGAAGAGGGGTAAGGTGCTGAAGGCTTCACCTGCTCATTCACTATTTGTCAAGCACTGTATGCTTTATCTCCCTTCCTGGTTTGGGTTCACCTGGAAGCAATCCCTGAAGCATGTATTTATCTCAATGTAAGTAGTTTATTTGGGAGGTGATTGTAGAAGACATGATGAAGGAGTGAGGAAGTGAGACAGGGAAGGGAAGAAAACCATTATAGGCAACTGGGGCCCGATTTCACAGCAGTCCTTCTGAGTGACTGTGGAGAATGCAGTGGACCCAGTGAGGGGAAGGAAACCGAGGTATTTCTCCTCCATCCTCCACTCCTTACTAATGGAAGGTCCTTCCTGGGGGACTAATCTCCTGGTCTTTGGCCTGCATGGAGCAATGTCAGGATAGGCGGTGTGGGTAGGGAACCAATGGAATCTGCTACTCACCTCCAGACTGGGGAGATAAAAATATGAGTAGGATATGTCCCCAAGAGGCTGAGAGTCCAGAGACAGATACAGAAACACAAACAATTATAAAACAGTGCAGTAGATGTTAAAATAATAAGGAAGGAGCAAAATTCTAAAGGGATACAGCGAAAGGACTGGCTTGAGGAGCTGCAGACTCACAACAGGGCATTTATTTTCCTAAAGGATAAGTAGGTAGTTGCCACATGGGAAAAAGGAGATAGAGCATTCTGGAGAAAAGTACAGAATGTGTGCAAAGGCAGTAAGCTAAAATTCTTTCTTGGGCTTTTTTGGATGGAGGAAAAAGGGCCCACTGAAGGTCACTCAGGCAAGTGTGAGGCTCAGGCCTCTGGCAACTGAGAACTGACCACTGAAATGAAGCAACTACTTTCTCGGTTTCTCTCTCAGGAGCTGCTTGTCCTGTTTGGTTCTCTTTCTGTGGACTGTTTTCTTCTGCTTCAACCTGCAGGACCTTTCACGTATAGCTCCCACAGCTTTTTTGGAAGAGTTGCCTAATTTTCTAGGAGAGGAATCTGGCCACATTCATCATAGCATGCTGGCCAGTCCCTGTGTTCTGCTCTTGAATTAGAGGCCTTCCCATGGCTAGTAGGATGTGATAGTGGTGTGAGATGCACACAGGGATCTGCCCTTCAAGGGCTGTGGATGGAGCAGATCCCCAGAATAGGGGTGTGGCAGGACAAGAAGCTGTGACATATCTGTATTTGGATGCATGCAAGAGATGAGGAAATGAAGAGTTTGGTTAGAGGCACTCTGCTGAAAGAAAATAAATTCTGGTTCGGTGAGTTGGTTGAGCAAATTCTCTGCTGAGAAGAGCCTCATGAGTCTGGACAAAGGGAATCAGGTCACACTTTTACGTTTAGGAATGACATGGTCAGTTTGGGACTTGAAGAGGGTAATTCTGGAGGGTAGCAGGGAGACCATCTGAGAGGTTAAAGTGATTGCCCATGAAGGAAGACATTAATGACCTGAGCTAAGTCAGTGGCAGCAAGAATGCTGAGGATGAAAAAGTTTGGATTCAAGAAATACAGGCTAAAAAGGAAGAAAAATAAAAGTCATAAGCTTAGCAAAAGACACGAGAGAAATGGAAGAATAGGAGGGGCAGTGGTTATACAATGGGAATAACAAGTTTTGGAGATGGATCCATTCTTGGTATGACCAGGTCCATGGTGTGGTTGTAGGAGCAGTCGCTAAAGTGGAGAACAGGTGAGAGAAGGTTCTTGGAGCAGAGGAAGTTGAGGAACCCAGCATCCATGGCAGTACAGACATATGTGTCTGAAACAAAAGTTTAATTAAAAAAAAAAATACCATTACCTAATACAACGTGCTGCTACTCATCTACTCAGTTCCATTCCATTTCATTTTGTAATGTGGGTTATGACACACTACACTGATATCATGACCCATTAATGAGCCATGATCTGTGGTGGAGAAAACACTGGGTCAGAGTGTTGGAGCATCTGTATGGAAATTAAAAGCATTGAGGTGGAGAGGACAACGGGGAGCCCACTGGCATCAAAGTCATAGC